AGCCATAAAGTACAAAGTCCACACCAAATCGTTAACAGTGACAACCTCTGGGAAGTGGGTTTAGGGTAGAGGAGTTTCATTTTTTATCTTTGAAAGAAATTTTTACAATCATGTCAGCTGAAAGACACTCCTCAGATCTCCCAGCTTACCAAGAATCCAGGCCCTCAGGCTCAGCCCATCCAAACCTAGTTCTCCCTCAGATACCGACCCAGGAGTCTGCAGCCCCCGGACTTTCGTTCCTCAGATCCAGTAGGCAGGGGCCCCCCGGCTCCCTCCTCTCTCAGACCCAGGAGCCCCGGCCTCTCCTCCCTCAGACCCGGGAGCCCCGGATCTTCCTTCCTTAGACCCTGGAGTCCATCTCTCCTGACCTCCTCCTCCCTCAGATTCGGGAATCCACAATCCCGGACCTCTACTCCCTCAGAGCGGCCCTGCGTCTCTACTCTGGCCCCGCCTCTCACCGCGCAGGCTCCGCTTGTAATTTGTGTCACGCGTGCTCGTTCTCAGAACAGTCCTCAATCTCCGCACCAGCCACGCCCTTTACTCCGCGGCCGGGACTTCGTGTGAGACACGCCCTTCAGCGTCGACCTCCACAGCTCGCGCCACCGGCGCGCTAGCAATTCCAGTCGCTTCCCTTTCTGGCCCCGCCCGCCCTCGGGGGGTCCTTCCTCTTCACCATCCGTCGTTGGGGCTGTCCGCAGCACTGCCTGATGCACTCGACAAAACAACCGTCCCCAATATTTCCAGGATCCTTTTTGTCCATCTCCATGAACAGCGTCTGCTGACCTGTTCAGGAAGCTTGTATTCGAAACAGGCGTTATTCCCTTCTCCAAGCACCAACGCGGGGTTTCCGACACCGGCCATTGTACAGGACGCTTCAGGCGGTGTCCGGAATGGCGCTGGGGGTCGGGCCTTGCGAGCGGCGTGGTCTATATAAAGTGGGGCGCGCGGCAACATGTGCACGCTTTGGAGAAAGTCGGCGTCCGGTGAGTTTGTAAGCCTTTGTGGTCTCTTTTCGTCTCCGGTTTTGGGCGTTGGCTCTGAGTGCGCGTGTCGCGAGTGCCCGGTAGTAATCATATCACCGCATGGACGAGGTCGGGGCCGTCTGGAAGGGGTCGGGGCGGGGGCTGGGGCGAGCCCAGGGGTCACCTTTGGGGACCGCATGGCGTCTAGATAGGCGGGAGCGCCGAGGGGAGGAACAAGGGTTCCTGCCGCCGCAGCGGACTGGGGACTGCCGAGACCGCTCCACATCCGCTGCTCAAATCGCGAGTTTCCGCCATCTTGTTCATCTTCTTTTTTGGGGCGTGTGGTGGGGGGTGTTTTGTGGCACTAAGTTTTTGAGTTTTTAGTCTCGTGCCAGTTACAGGTGCTTCACCTAGGAAATCGCCGCCTTTTTTCGATTCCAGGCGGCTGGCATTTTTGTGCAATTTGGGTGTGGAGGGGGAGGGGTATTGGAGTCTGCGTAGGAACAGACAGGGTATCAGGAGTTTCTAAAGAAGTGGGATTGGGATCTCTAGGTGAATTATTGCGTTTCAGAGAACCGGGTAGAGTTTTCTTGTTGATTTGTGCCCTCTAGGCGATTCGGACTCCACATGACAGAGTAGAGATGCCCCATAGGGTTTCCAAGGGTGTAAATCTTCACGGAAGCAGATTGCACGTCTTTCTCCCGCGGAGCGGTTGGTGCGTTGGAATCGCTGACCTTTCGGTTAGCAGTCGAGTACTTAACCGTTGAGCCGCCAGAGTTTTTCAGGCGTCTCCTTTGGAGAAAGTAAAAAACCCGTTGTCCTGGAGTAGATTCCGACTCACTGGCGACCCCCACGTTCGCAGAGTAGAACTATGCTCCTTAGTGTAAAATAAAATTACAAGGTTTGCTTAATGACGAGAGTTCCCCTTCCTCGTGACACTAAAGATCATCTAATATCAAAAACCTATTGAAATAAAAAAATTAGCCTCTAGCTATACTCTGAATTATAATCTTTAGAAGTGACTTGTTTTGTTTTACATAATTACATGTAAGTGGTCTCATTAACTGAAACCAAAATGGGACTGGTTTCACCATTCATTAACTTTCATTTGAAGTTTATTCTTTCAGAAAACAATCGAAGAATAATGAACATGGTCTGTTTCCAAGAACTCTACAGGTTTTGTGCCTATGGCTCACTCGTCTTATAATTGTAACTGTTTAGCAAGGTTTCTGTTTAAACTTTGGTAATGTTTTGAACACATACTGTTCCATCCAATCAGAAATTTTGTCCAAAGTTCCTGGTAAACTTGTATATGTTGTGTGCCATCCATTCAATTTCTACGCATGATGATCCTATGTGACAGAGTAGAACTGCCACATAGGGTTTTCTTGGCTTCAGTTTCTACGAGAGCAGGTTGCCGGGTCTTTCTCCTGCAGAGACGCTGGGTGGGTTCAAAACCCAGCCTTTTGGTTAGCAGCTGAGCACTTAACCATTGCACCACCAGGGCGCCTTAAAAATTGTATATAAAAGCACAGTGAAAACCTTAATCAAAGCACTGAACCACTGCCCGACAGTCTATTAAACCTGCATAGCAATCTGTTAATGGTGCTCTGAGTTTGATTTTTTGATAATAAGGTATTCAGGGCTGTGATCTTTCACAAGTAGATTGCTAGGCCTGTCTCCTGAGATGCGCTGCCACTGGGTGGGTTGGAACCACCAACCTTCAGGCTAGTAGTAGAGCAGTTAACCTTGTGCACCATCGAGGGACTCCAGGAGTCTACTTAGGAGGAAGTAAAAAACAATTGCTGTGTAGTATATTCCAACTCATGGCAACCCCCACGTGTCAGAATAGAACTGTGCTCCATAGGGTTTTCACTGGCTTATTCTTTCAGTAGTAGATTACTAAGCCTTTCTTCTGAGGTGCCTCTGGTGGACTCAAACCTCCAACCTTTCAGTTAACAGTGAAAGCAAATGAGGACTTTATTCATCCGTAGGAGTTCTCTGACACGGTGGCTCCAAATACCAAAGGGTATTTATTAAATTAGTTTTGAGCTAATCAATCCTTAACCTCTTTTTTTTAGTTTGTGTTTTCAGTGAATGTTTACACAACAATTTAGATACCCATTCAACAACTTCTACACAAGTTGTTCAGTGACATTGGTTACATTCTGGTTGTTCCATTTCCATTAATCTAGTTTCCCTGCAATCCTTAATCTCTTTTTGAACATCTGTTTTCTGGCCAATGAGCAATGCCACGCCCTGCCAACGAGGCCCAGCCTGGAAGCATGGAGATAATTTTCTTACACCCCCACCACAACCTCCAAGAATCCCCTCTTGCAGAGTTTCTCCCTCAGGCAACCACCTGGAAGACTGATGACTTTATCCTGTTTCCATGTTACAGGTGGAAGGCTTTTTCTCATCCATGCTTCATTGACATTCATTTCTTTTTTGTGCCTTTTTAAACTTTTTATTAAATCATCAAACATACAGGAAAATATACAGCGGTGTAATGAATGGGTGTCAGTTTAACAATTGTAATGTTTTGCCATGTCTGCTTTGTGTTTAGTGTTCTAAAAGTAAACTTCATGTTTTGCCTAAAATAGTTAACACTTGTGTCTCTAAAATGACACTTTTTTCTTTAACTGAATGCGATTGTCCCCCTTAACGGTACTTTAACAGAATTCCTTAATGATGTCGTTTAATACTTATTCCCTGTTCACAGTTCCTAGATCATCCCCCAAAATATCTCTCACAGCTGATCAAACCTCGTTGCGGTCCAGCGTACTGTGTGTCATATTACTTACATCTTAGGTTTCTTTTCATCTATAATAGTTGCTGTCTCCTCATCCTCTCCAGTAGGTTCTTTAAGAGATTTTCATCTTGACGGCTTTCCCTATTTTAGGGTTACTGGCAGGTTTGGCCAGTGCTGAAAATCTGTAAAACTAGGCAGTGGGGACACGGGGGTCCTCTTCGTGTAGTGGGTTTGGAGGCCCATCCCATGAGGACAGTCCCCCCCTCCACCCTCCCTGGACTGTGATGCGGGGGTTGCAGTGTGGGGAGACGTTGGAGTGCCTCTGGGGAAAGCTGTGGTCATTTATACCCTTCTTGACAGATTCAGGTCTGGTAGCTCGGCCTCTGTCCCAAAGGTGAGAGGCCTTGGGAAATGGCTGCAGAGGTCCAGGGCCCCCATGATGTCCAGCACTGGGCTCTGATCACCCCTGAGGACACAGTGCCCCCCAGGACCTTTGACATCTGGGGAACTGAGGGGCCCTGGCTCTGGGGAAAGTTTTGACGGTCTCTTGGGCTTCTGAACCATTTTTTGTCTCCCCCCTCCCCCAACCAGTCCTTCCTGTGTTACAGGTGCAGAAGCTCAGCCGCCATCCAGCCACCTCCATCTTGGTAAAAAGCCTCGCTCCTACCTCTTGTCTCAGACAGGCCTTTGGGCAACTTCACACCAAATATCTCTGGGATCTAATTCATGTGGCAGCAGTCATATTCAGGACTTACATACATAAGCCGTCTTGTTATAGCTGTGGAAACTCAAATCACGTGGGCCTGGGTCCAAATCCCAGGTCTTTATGGGCTTGGAGATGTTGGTCAAGTGCTTGCTCTCCTGACTCTGTTTCTTTATCTGCAGAATGGGCATGCTTCGTCAGGAGCGGATAGGCTAGAGTTCTGTCGCCAATAGTGTGGGGGTTGGGGGGTAGTGATGTTTCTTGCCTTGCAAAGATACAAATTGAGTAAGATGAATACATGTGCTGTGGAAGAAAAAAAAATTAAGGTATTTGGTGGTATTTAGGTTTCAGGTAGGAGCTCTGGTGGCACAAATGGTTAAGCATGCAGCTGCTAACTCATTCAGCTGCTCTTGAGGAGTGCTGGTGGCACCATCATCAAGTGCTCGGCTGCTCTCAGGAGAAAGATGGGGCAGTCTGCTTCCGTGAAGATTATAGCCTTGAAAACCCTATGGGGCAGTTCTTCTCTGTCTGTGGGGTTGCCGTAAGTCAGAATCAACTTGATGACAGTGGGTTTGATTGGGTTTTTGTTTTCCTGCTGGCTGCTACTTGCCTTATTGCCTGCCGATCTTGGGATTCATCAGCCTCCCGCAGCCTGCTGTCTGACCTGCTGATCTTGGGTTTGTCAGCCCCTGCAGCTACGGAAGTCTAGAGAAGCCTCGCCTGACCCGCAGAGTTGGGACTTGCCAGCCTCCACAACCACGTGAGCCACTTTCTTGAGATAAATTTCCTTCCTTCCCTCCCTCCCTCTCTCTCTGTATGTATATGTACACATATACATGCTTGCCTGGTTTTGCTTCTCTGTAGAACCCAGCCTAAGACAGCATTAGAGGCCAGTCATGGCGCTGGGGAGGGGGTCTGCCTCGTAGTACCCCAGGGGCCACATGTTGGTCATTTTTCCTGCTTGGGTCTTTGAGATCTCACCTGTGCTGTCCCTCTCAGGACTGCAGGCAAGTGGCTTTGGGCCCCAACTGAGGAGGGGAACGAGGGCACTGGGGCCCCCATGATGTCCAGCACTGGGCTCTGACTGACCCTGAGGACACTGTGCCCCCCTGGGACCTTTGACACCCCGGGGTCTGAGGGGCCGCGGACTTGGGGAAGGGCTAGATGTGGGTGCCTTAGTTGCCCTCCATCTCACCAGCCTCTTTCCCCTACTCCTTTCTGCCTACAGGTGGTTCCTCCAGGAGTCGGACACCATCTTGGTAAGAACAGAAGAGGCTCCCTCTTACTAACAATACCTTAATACTAACTTTATCTTAGTTGAGGAGAGCTGCCATAACACAAATGCCACAAGTGGGTGGTTTTATAGAACAAGAAGTTATTTTCTCAGTTCTGGAGGCTAAAAGCGCAAATCAGGGTCTTAGCTGTGTCGGTTCCTTCAGACTCCACTAGTTTCTGCTGTCTGCCAGTGATCCTTGGCAAATTCAGAAGTGATTAAGTTTAGGATCAGCCCTACCTTGGTGTATCCTCATTAACATAACTAAAGAAAGCTCCCTATTTTCACATAGTCATGGTTACAGGGGTTAGGACTTTCGTGTTTCTATTTGGGGACACAATTCCGCCCATAACACCTTACGATAACATGAATTTGGTTGTATTACAGGTATAATAGACTAATGTTTAGCACTCAGCTCTGAGCCAGGCTCTTTCCTCTGCACAATAACCCTGTGAGTAGGTGCAGTTATTCTGCTTTTACAGCTGAGGAAATCAGGGCACAGAGAGGTTTTAATTTTGCACATGCTCACCTCCCTTTTAGGAGGGGGTGCTTTACATCTGCAACCTCTGCAGGCCTTGCGGGGTCTGAGGTGTGATGTTGTCGGGTGCCGTGGAGTCAGTTCTAACTCATAGCAACCCCATGTGATACAGTAGGACTGCTGCATAGGGTTTTCTTGGCTGTGATTTTTATGGAAGCAGATCTCCAGGCCTTTCTTCTCCAGAGCTGCTGGGTGGGTTTGAACTGCAAAACCTTTTGGTTAGCAGCTAAGTGCTTAACCATTGCACCACCAGGGTTCCTTGCAGTGTGATGAGTGTTCTCTATATTCCCTTCTTTACAGCTGAAGAAACAGAGCCAAGGAGATGAGTTTTGATTCATAGCTCTGCCACTTTTGGACCCGGGGGGGCCATTGTGACTTGGCACATAGATCAGGACGAGGCTGCCCATGTATGTGTTGGGTGGGTCAGTCTCCCTTGCCAATTCCTGGGCCTGACCCCTAGAGCTTGGGGGATTGGGGCCCAGGACCCTGGGTTCGTAACTGGCTCCCCAGCTGGTATTGACCAAGGTCACGTGGAGGGGTGGCAGAGCTGGGGATAGTGAGCCCCAGCCTTTGTGACCCCAAAGTTGTTGTCTCCTACCTCCCCCAAATGTGGCATCCGCTGTGCAGAGATATTGGGAGAGGTGTAGTGGCAGGGAATCTGAAAGCAGGCCGATGCAGGAGGGGCTGGGAGAGAAGCAGATGGGCTTGATCAGGGTTCCTGCAGCAGCTGCATCTAGGGGCCCCCACGATGTCCAGCACTGGGCTCCCAACTGATCCTGAGGACACTGCCCTCCCTCTCCCCCCACACCCCAACCTTTGGCTTCTGCAGGTCTAGGGGCATCAGAGAGGGCATGGCTTTTTCTCCCACCCGACTCATGGCCTGTGTCCTTCCCTAGCAGACCCAGCAGAGCCATGGCTGACAGCACACTGGTGCTCACCTACCCACGCCGAGGGAACCACTACTACACATTCACCAATCTTATAACCATCTCACGTCGCTTCAAGCAGCACTACAAACCCATGATTGTCTGGATACTGCAGGTGTATGACAGGGGGGGCCAGGCCCTGTCACTGAACTCGGAGGAACTGGTGATCCTGGGCAGGCTGACTGGTGATACCCTCTTCAACTGCTACTGCCAGACCCTGCAGGGAGGATGCCAACTGCTCCTCACCTGGCTGGTGAGGGCCTGGTGCCTGCGAGATGCTCCCATGGCCCTGGGCCACCCTGGAGGAAGGCATATAGCAGGTGCATGAGCTGGGCGTGTTCAGCTGGATCTACTATGACCCATGACAGATGCACCCGAGGAGCTGCATCCATTGCTGGTTGCCATGGTGGTCAAGGGCCAGACGGTGCTAGAGGCAGTGAAGGCGATCTAGACCTTGGCCGACATCGGCCTGCTGAAGCGCGAGAGCCAGCCCTGCTTCCAGGCCCTGCTGGTACCAAAGTCCACACGCACAGACGTGCTGGGCTGGCTGCGCGGCCACGGTGTGCTCCGGGAGAAGGTGGAGAAGCAGTCCACCGAGGCATTGCTGGAGATGTGTACCAGGCAGGCCAAGCTTAGCTGCAGCCACCCTGCCCATGGGCTGCATGAGGAGCAGTCCCTGCCACCGCCCTACGGCGACGGAGGCAGAGAGGAGCCACCAAAGCACCATGGCTAGGCCTCCCTCTGCTTGGGCACACAGAGACTACCTAGCTTGGCCCCTCAAGCTGGCACTTGGGGGACAGGGCCAAGGGAGACTGATGATACTCAGGGGAGATGGGACAGGCAGTATACGTAGGGTGGGCGCGAGTCCCTTCCTGTGCATCCGTAGCCACGAGACGGGCCAGAGGCCCTCCACAGGAGCAGGCCACACCCTGACAGCTCAGAAGAGAAGAGTGTCCTCACCCCACTTCAGTGTCCTGAAGGCATCACTGGCCAGAGCTTGATAGCAGAGGGCAGCAGGCAAGAGTCCTTGGGGGCAAGGTGTGTGGTCAGTTCACTTCTGCCTGTGCAGCAAAGGGGGTGGGCACAACAGTGCCCCTACTTCTCTGCCACCTGGCCCTGAAGTACTGCAGGCCAAGCGGGGAGACCCTTGAAGTACTCACTTTTTCTGTAAGGTTTTTTAAAATACAACGTTTTTACGTAGTACCTTATTTTAAGGATTATAGGATAAGCAATTTCACCCCCACCATCTGTAGCACTATAGTATGTGTCCCATGGGGAACTGACCCCTTCCTGGTGTCGTTTAACTCAGTGATAGAATTAATTAGCCAATGCACATTATAAAGTGTAATCTTAACATGTGGGGTAGAAGGAGTATTTCTTTGGCACCATGAGGCCAGAAACAACGGCCTCAACACAGGATGGTCTTAAGCTGCAACTAGGTTTGAAGCCTGCCTTTGCCTTCTACAAGAGACAAGTTGGCTTCCTATGAAAGTTTTTTTAATTGCTTGTGACAGAGTATAGACACCTGCGTCTTAGCTCATGTAAATAATCTTGCTATCTTAACTGAATCCCTATTCATTCCCATCTAGCCAGATGGGCAGTGTTCACATTTCGAAAGGTTTCCAGTTAGAACTGATTTAGTCTCCTCCCTAACCAAATGGTCAGCTTTTACATTTCAAGAACTCCAGCTAGGGTTGAACCGGCAGGCCTACAGTCAGTCATTAGACCGCCTACATCAGGAATGTTTCCATGGCTGGCTTTAGAAAAAATTGCTTTAATCCATTTGTATTGGGAAATAAGAGGTTGATGTTAGGCTAGAAATAGATGTTTGGAAAGTTTGTAGCTTGACAACCCCTTGTAACTTTTTCCTTCCTTCCTTCCCCTGCACCCTCTGGATGTGAAACCATTTTGCTTTTGTTTGCTCTGCTTAATAAATACCTCATTGCTCTCCCTGCAAGGCAGAGCACGTCCTGCCTCTTGAGTGCCCATGTGGTTCTCCATTTTGCAAAATGATCTTATTTTTTCATTCAATAAAATTCTTATGATTCCTAGTGGAGCATCAGTCTAGTGTTTTCACTAGGACAAAGCCTTCCTCTTTCCTCCTCCTCCTTTTCACGTGCATTTCAGCAGACATTCCCCCCTAGTCTCTGTTATATGAATCTGGGACCCCTGGTCCGCATTTTTCCCTCTCCTATGATGCAGTGACCAAATACATCACTGTTGGATAGGAGCCGTGGGGACCAGCTCACAATGAACCCTACTCTGTTCCTCATCGTGGTGTGTAAGTAATAAAAGCTGGTGCCTGAGTAGTGGTGGTAACCTATTTGATCCAAAGAGCTCTGCATTAAATCAGGTTTTCTTTGCAAGGGTGTATGACACTTTTTGTTGTTAGGTGCCATCAAATTTTGACTCAGCCCCATGTGACAGGAGAACTGCCCCATAGGGTTTTCTAGGCTGTAATCTTTATTGTGTGAAAGTGTTAAAAATCAAAGATGTCACCTTGAGGACTAAGGTGCATGTGACCCAAGCCATGGTCTTTTCGGTCGCCTCTTATGTATGCAAAAGCTGAACAGCGAATAAGGAAGACCGAAAAAGTGATGCCTTTCAATTAATGGTGTCGGCGAAGATTATTGAATATACCATGGACTGCCAGAAGAACGCACAAATCTGTCTTGGAAAAAGTATAGCCATGATGCTCTTTGGAAGCGATGGTGAGATTTTGCACGTTCTCAGGAGGGACCAGTCACTGGAGAAGGACATCACACTTGGTAAAGTAGAAGTTCAGTGAAAAAGGAAGACCATCAACGAGATGGAGTGACAGAGTGGGCTACAACAGTGGGCTCAAACAGCAATGATTGCAAGGATGGTGCAAGACCAGGGAGTGTTTCATTCTGTTGTATATGGGGTCACTGTGAGTTGGAGCTGACTCGATAGCACCTAACAAATCTATGGGAGCAGATCGTCAGGTCTTTCTCCCACAGAGCCGCTGGGTGGGTTTGCCACAGCCTGGAAAACCCTATGGGGCAGTTCGGTCGCATGGGGTCGCTATGAGTCAGAATCGACTCAGCACACGAAATGTGGCCAGGTGACTGGGGAACTGTTTTAAGTAGCCACATGCAGCCAGTGGCTACCACATTGGCCAGTACAAACTCTTCATCACGGACCAAGTGGGGTCTTCCCCCTCCAGACATGCTATTACAGGTAGCCAAGTGAGGTGTTATCAGTCCCACCTACTCTGCTGGTCCTGGGGAGGTTACTGTAGGGGGCTGTGGAGTCAGATGGATTTAATTCTTGGCACAGAGAGGCCAAGTCACTTGCCCTAAGTCACACAGCCTCAGATATGTGACTAGCCGATGGGCTGTAGAGACCAGGCTGCATGTTCAGATACACAGGTTCCCACATGTATAGAAACATGCATGTAAACTAAATCCCACACGTTACACGCGTAGGCCTGTGTATATGTACATCCAACACGTATACACAAGATGCGGGTGTAGACTTGTACATTGATGCATGCCAACGTGTATGCACAAACGTATGCCCCCCGCATACAAACACCTGTGTGCTACAGATGTCTACACATGACATACGTAATGTATGCCGTTGAATCGATTTCGACTCACAGTGACCCCATGTGACAGTCAGACTGCCCCATAGGGTTTCGTAGACTGTAATCTTTAAAGAAGCAGACTGCCAGGTTTTTCTCCTACAGAGCCAAAGTAGATTTGAATCGCCAGCCTTTCAGTTACCAGCCAAGTGCTTAACCATTGCACCACCAAGGCTCCTTCAACACCCTCCATAACCACAGTAAAGTGATCAAACCATGAAGTTAGTGTTACAACATTCCTATGAACTAATCTACAGACCTTCTTCAAATTTCCCCAGTATTCCCACTCATGTCTTTCCTCTGATCTGGGATCCAGTCCAGGATTTCAGATTGCATTTAGTTGTCGTATATTGACTTTAGCTGTTGTTAGGTGCCGTTGAGTCGATTCCAACTCATAGAAACTGTAGGACAGAGTAGAACTGCCCCCTAGGGTTTCCAAGGCTGTAATCTTTACAGAAGATGGGGCAGGATCGGGCAGTGTATCGTTCTGTTGTACATAGGGTCAGCTCTGAGTCAGAACTGACTCAACGGCACCTAACAATCTTTACGTAAGCAGATCGCCAGGTCTTTGTTCCTCGGAGCTGCTTGGTGGGTTCAAACTGCCTACCTTTCAGTTAGCAGCCGAGCAGTTAACCATGGCATCACCAGGGCTCCTTACGTACATACATCCAAACCCACTGCCCTCGAGTCGATTCTAACTTATGATGACCCTATAGGACAGAGTAGAACTGCCCCATAGAGTTTCCAAGGGTGTAAATCTTTGCGGAAGCAGACTGCCACATCTTTCTCCCTCCAAGCGGCTAGTGGGTTCAAACCACTGATCTTTTGGTTAGCAGCCGAGGGCTTAACCACTGCACCACCAAGATTCCTCACATATGTACCAACATGTGTATACATACCAACATATGCACACATGGAACCCTGGTGGTACAAAGGTTAAACGCTGAGCTGCTAACCAAAAGGTTGTCAGTGTGAACCCACCCAGCAGCACTGCAGGAGAAAAGACCTGGCAATCTGCTCCTGTGAAGACTACAGTACAAAAAGTCCTATGGAGCAATTTTACTCAGTCACATGAGGTCGTTAGGAGTCGAAATCGACTCGATGGTATAGGGACAAGTACAAATGGAAAATAATGGGTAAGTTCCCCTGGTGACAATAGAGGAAGGAGCTCCCCTCCTCCGTTGCTTTCTTTAGAATTCACTTTAGATAACTTGTAAATTCTGTGTCTTCCTGAAAAGTGTGTAAATGTAACTTCAAGTTTCTCCTCTACCTTCCTGTTTTTTACGGAAGGAGATTAACATAAACTCAGGTGGCCCATCCCTAACTCTGAGCCCGCAGGATTATAAAATTAACATTTATCTTCAAAATATGAATGTAATGACACTACCCCCTTACCTATATAATGGTTAAGATTTCTTTCTGTCTTTGCAGTCTCTTTAGTGGAATGCCTGTGATGCCTCACATTCTGGTAATAAAACTTCCTTCTCTTTTTGTGAAGAGGTTTCTGGGTTGGGAGAAAACCCAAAACCCACTGCCGTCGAGTTGATTCTGACTGATAGCAACCTCATAGGGTTTCCAAGGCTGTAATCTCTGTGGAAGCAGACTGCCACATCTTTCTCCCACAGAGCTGCTGGTGGTTTCGAACTGCCAACCTTTCGGTTAGCAGTCAATAGCTTTAACCACTGTGCCGGGAGTAGATTTTGTTTTTAGTAACTTTTACCATACAGTGGCACCTAAGAACAATATGTGCACTCATGTATCAAGCCTTATACACTCACATACACCACATGCACACATATATGTGTAAAAACAAATGTCCGTATATACATGTACCACACTTGTAGACACGTGCACACGTGTACCACACGTACACACACACCCGCCTGTGACTTCCAGGCAGGGTGCCCTCCCGGCTGCAGGCCTGGCTCTCCCGTTCCCCACACACAGTTGCACACAGTAAATCACAGGAGCCCAAGGAGCAGTGAGCAGTCATGTTGGGATCGGGTGTCAGCTGTAAGGGGGTGAGGTTGGGATTACCCAGGGTTCGGCTCACACAGGGCCCCCCCAGGCCCTCAGGCAGCCTGGTCTCCAGGCCAGCAGGCCCAGCCCCATGCTGACGGCCGCTAGCACGGCCACAGCTCCAGCCATCAGGGGCATCGCGGTGGCTGCAGGGAGAATAGGGGATTATGGATTGAATTGCGTCCCCCCAAAATCTGTGTTGTAAATCCTAACCCCTATACCTGTGGTTGTAATCCTACCTGGGAATGGGTTTTCTTTGTTATTTTAGTGGGGTAGTACAGGTAGTATCCCAATTTATGATGTATTCTAGTTACTATGAGCTGCACTTAATGTCTCTTTTTCTTAGGTGGGGGGCAGCTTACATAACCTGTGTATAATTTGAGAAGCAGGAAGCACCTATGTTGAAGCTGTAAGTTTATATGTAATATTTCCAACCCCAAAGATAAAGATCAGATTTATAAAGAAACTGATAAGAAAAGCCAGTAATAATGAAAACTAAAAGGTATTGGAGTTTCATCAGAACCAACTTAAGACGGAGTGTTGGAAGGTAACCCCATTGTAAATTGGGGACTACCTGTATTAGTATAGGGTATGTCTTGAGTCAATCTCTTTTGAGATATAAAAGGAGCTGATTTAAGCAAGCAGAGATGGAGGAAGATAGATGCCACACTCCATGAAGTTCACCAAGGAGCCAAGGAACGCAAGCCGAAAAGAGACAAGCCGGCAGAGAGCGCCTTCCCCTAGAGACAGAGGCCTGAATTCAAACTTCTAGCCTCCTAAACTGTGATAAAATAACTTTGTTAAAGCCAGCCAGCTGTGGTATGTCTGTTATTGCAGCTCTAGATAACTAAGACACGGGGTTGTGAGTTCCAGGACTTGGGGTCCCCTACCCTCAACCCCATCACTGAAGACCATCACCTGCAGGGGTGGCAAGCTCATGGAGGCTGTAGCAGGGGATCCCATGGGCCGGGGGCCGTGCTGGGGCTGTCAGCTGGTGGAAGCGGCCTAATGGGCAAGGGTCCGTGCACCCAGGGAGGCTGAGGGTCAGGGGCGGACGAGAGGAGTCGTTGCGGTAGAAAAGGGAGATGGTGACATTCCTGGGGGAAGAGAGAAGATGGTGGCATCCCCACCTCCCCCACCCCCCTGACTAAGTCTGGAGAAACAGAGGCAGAGTATGAGGGAAATGGAGAAACGGGCTCCCACCTGTCAATCTCCTAAAATGCAAATTTTCCTCCAGGCCGCGGCCTGGGCCATGTCCTCTGCCTGGCACACACCATCCCTCCTCTTGAGAATTCCACCCAACCCATTGTCCTGGGGTCCAGACCATCCTCCTCACCCTCCGTCTTCGTCTGGGTCCCTAAGGTGCCTCTGGAACTCGAAGCCAAGGCAGGCAGCGTACGGTGGGGTGTGGCCGTCATAGAGGCCCAGGGCTCCCTGGAGGGCCAGCAGGGTGCTGTCGTGCTGCAGGCCGATATCCAAGGGCTGAGACCCCTGCTCTCCTGATGTCCCCACCCCCTGAAACTTGTTCTTCCTCTCCCTCCTCAACCTGGAGGGAGTCCTACCAGTTATGTGTGATATTTTAATAAAGATTGGGCAAAGGAATGCAAAATAGGATTGGACAGTTCGATTAAACAGCCTGACCTTTCAGATGAGGCTTTTTTTTTTCTCCATGACACCATCACCTCCCTCTTCCAAGACTCTTAGTGATATGGTCTGAGAGTAGGGTTTAAAGATATGAGTTACCCAAGGCAATGGACTGAGGTCTCATTGGGACCACCAACTCTTCATTACCCAAGCTGCCATCCCTTTCATCCCATCCGTAGGACTCACAGCTGAATATATAACCATCTTGAGGGGCAGCCCCAGGTGCTGAACCCGAGAGAAGTTGGCGAGGATAGCATCCAGCAGGATCCCTGAGGGGGTGGGAACAGAGCGCTGAAAACCCCAGAGGAAGGCACCTAGGCCTCCCGACCTCCCAGCCCCACACCTCACCCCCTGTCAGCTGGGCCTTCTCTGCTGCCCGGGGTGGGCCCACATGGGCCCCGATATCCAAAGCTGAGATCTGAGTGAGAGTTTGCAGGACATCCGGGGAGGCCCAGGATGGGAGTGGAAGACCATGGGCTCGCTGCGGAGAGACAGAGAGACAGGACAAAGAGACGAGGACATTCCAGGCTCTTTACTGCCCCCTCAGGCCCTCCCAGTGCCTGTGTGGCCCCCATTAGCTATGGTTCGCTGCCCTCGTGCTCGAATATGTTTCCCCACCCCTCCTCTGAGCCCTTCTGAGCCTGGGTCTGGTCAGAGGAATTATGGGGTGGGCAATGGTTATAGGTAGTAATAATAATAATAATATAACAATTTTTATTGTTAAAATATATATTGTATAGTTGGATGTTGTTCTTAGTCGCTGACTAGTTGATTCCAACAATGACGACCGCATGTGTGCAGAGTAGAACTGTGCCATAAGGTTTTCAAGGCTGTGATCTTTCGGAAGCTAATCCCCAGACCTGTCTTCCAAGGTGCCTCTGACTGGGCTCAAACCGTCAACCTTTGGCTAGTAGTTGAGCGCTTAACCATTTATGCCACCCAGGGACTCCTAGTTTCATATTAAAATGTATAAATTTTATATAAAATAGGATGATTTTATTTATATACATTGTCTAAAATATAATTATTGGTATAATATAATCTAAAATACTATAAATTATATATTATATACGATTAGTAATTAATATGGAGTCCCTGGGTGGCCCAAACGGTTAAGCGCTCAACTACTAGCCGAAAGGTTGGTGCTTTGAACCAACTCAGAGGCGCCTCAGAAAAACGGCCTGGTTATCTGCTTCCGAAAAATCAGCTGTTGAAAACCCTATGGAGCACAGCTCTAGTTTGACACACATTGGTCGCCAGGAGTGGGAATCAACTTGTCAGCAGCTAACGACAGCAACAATAGTAATTAATAATTATATAATTAATATGTGTGATTATATATAATTAACATAATTATAATACAGTTGACCAGCCCTTATCTGAAACCCTTTGGGCCAGATGTGTTTCGGCATTCACAGCGTTTTGGACTGTAGAAAGGTCCTAGGGTGCAGATAACGTATGCCACTAACACACCCAGTGGAGTCTGGAGGCGCCTCCATATAATACACATTCAAATTTCCACCATGAAATTAGGAATATCATGTCATTTCAGGTCGGCTTCTGCTATAGGGTCGCTAGGAGTCTGAATGGACTCAATGACAACAGGTTTGGGTTTTGGTTTTCTGCTACCTGTGTTTTGGTTCCTGGAGCTTTTCGGATTAAGGAACAGCAGACACCGAATTGCAAAAGTGCGGCCCCAAACCCTCGTGAGGCGCTTACTATGAACTAGGCGCTGTTCTAAACCCATGATGTGGACTAATCCGTTTAATCTTCACAGCCACCCCAGGAGGTGTTGATACGGGCATCACCATCTCCATTGTGCAGATGGGGAAATTGAGACACGGGGGTTAAGTAACTCGTCTGAGCAAGCACAGCTAGTTAGGGGCAAAACTGGAACTTGAACCCACGTGCCCTTCACCACTTGGCTGGGCAGAGATGGGGGCTCACCTGGCAGAACAGCGTGTCCAGAACCTTCCATGCTCTGCGGAGCGGTTCGCCGACCAGCGACAGCCCCGTGGAGTTGCCCAGGCGCGTCAGGAAGTCCTGGACCCACAGAACTGGGTGATCTTCGTGCCGCGTCCTCCCTGCCATGCCCCTCTCACCGTCTCCCTCCTCCTGCCCCACCGACCCCCGGCCCCGCCCACCGTCCAGCCCTCCAGGGCTGCCTGGTACTCAGCCGCCTCCTTGGTCTCTCGAAGCAGCTCTTGGTAGCGGGGACAGCTGCGCATGGGGAACCTCAGCAGCTGGAGGTGGGTGGGGGAAACTGAGGCTCAGAGAGGACAGCCACGTGTCCGAGATACCACAGCAGGTCTAAGGAGCCAGGGCTGCCGGGAGCGGAGGGCAGTCCCAGAGCCCCTTCTCCAAGCCTCGGTCTTTGCAGCTGTGTGTCTCTCTGTCCTTCTCTCTCCTCGTCTCTATTTCTCCCTCTCTCCATCCCTCTCTCCCCCACCCCCTTCCAGCTCCTCACCTTGTCCTCGGTGACAGGCACTGTGTGTACAGGGATTGGCCGCCAGCTGGACTCGGGGGTCCCCGGGGCAGCCTCGGGAAAGAGCCCGGCCAGGTTGGCCTGAGCGCTCTCCAGCGTCCGGTCAAAGTCCGTGCTGCGAATGTACACCTGGAAGGGGGAGGGGGCACCACGATGGGGGCCTTGATCGGGGTCAGAGGTCAGGTGTGTTGGCAAACCAAAAGCTTAAGATTTCAGCTTGGGAGTAGGTTAAAGGTCATGAAGAGTGGCTGAAGGTCAGGTATTTGGAGTCAAATCTCAGCGCAGGTTCTAGTGTCTGACCTTCAATGTGTGAAGCTGGGGTCAAGGGGCAGAGGTCAATGTTAGAAGCAGCCGAGTTGGAGATCAGAAGTTGGGTGGTCATGTTGGGTAAAGGGTGTCAGAGGTCAAAGGGCTCTTTGAGTTAATGAGTGTCAGAAGAAAGATCAGAATTGGTGGAGGCTGGAAGTTAAGGTCAAGATGAGGAGGGCAAGTTGGAGGACATGAGGTCAGAGTTTAGTGCTTGTCTATCGAGTCAGAGGTCAGAGATTGGGAGGACTGATCCTAATTGGGGGGGATGTCAGAAGATAGAGGAGGAGAAAAGAAAAGAAGGTCAGAATGATGAAGGATAGAGATCAAAGGTTGGAGGTCAAGAGGGCAAGTTGAATTAAGGGTCAAAAGACAGAATCAAGTTTGGGGTCAGAGATCAGAAGATCTGGTTGGTGGGAGTGAGAAGGCAGAGGTGGAGTCCAGGCAATAAAGTCAGAGTAGAAGGTTGGAGGTCAGAGATCAAGATAAAGAGAGCAGGTTGGAAGAGAGCGTGTCAGAGATACAAGCATCACGGGAGGATGAGAGGTCAGAAGTATACATTCAATCAAGAGTCAAAAAAACAGATGGAGTTCAGGAGGGTCAAAGTTGATAAAGGTTGGAGGTCGGAGGTCAGTATGGGTTCATTGGGGGCTCAGAGGTCAGGTGCAGGTTAGGTGGGTGAAGGGGGCCAGAGGTAGATGCCCAGAAGGAGTGCCGGAGTCAGTGCAAGTCAGAGGTGAGAGGTCAGAGACTGGGTCAAGGTCATTGTGGCAGTACCTCCTCCCTCCAGTACTCAGGGCTCAGAAAAGTCTTGTAGCGGCTCCTCAAGAAGCGGCCCAGCTCCAGCTGCTGGCGGACCCCCTCCTGGGGGCAGAGCAGGCCTCAGCAGATCCCTCTCCACCCCCACCCACCCCTTGCCCCCACCCTCCAGCTTCTTACCCTGGTCAGCTGGCCCAGACCGCGCGGCCACAGGGTGGGGGCCGCCTCCTTGTGCGGGTCCGTCGGGTAGGATGCCAACGGAGCCCGGTCACCATGGCGGAACACCTGGGGGTGGGACCAGGTCAGGGCTGGACTGGGGGAGTGTGTGGTCAGATTGGGGCAGGGGACACCTCACCAGAGCCACGAACACCAGGGGTCCTTCTGCCAGGGCCTGGGCCAACAGCCACAGCAGCAGCAGGAGAGGTCCAGCGAGGTAGCCCCGAAGCCGTGGCCCAGCCATCTCCACACAGCCCAGACGCTGAGCTCAGCTTCACTGGCGGTGCCCCAGCCTCACCTGCTCATTAGCCTCTTCCTCAACGGCCCCATAGGAGCACGTCCCAACATGCCTCACCCAGGAGCCACAGGATCCAGCTGCCCCACACCTTTGCAAGTGTTCGGAGAACACAGAAACAGATGCAGGGAGAGAGACCCCACACCATGCCGCACGTTCTGTCTCTATCGTCCCACCTCCTTTAGTCTGTTCTTCCTTTTCTTGCCCCTTAAACATTGGGGCTCTTTAAGGCCCTCATGGGCTTCTTGGAGATTTCAGCTTCTTCCAGTACCATCCATAGCTGGCCAAAGCCAGTGTGGCCCAGTGGTTGAACACCTAGACCCTGAAGTTAGACAGGCTGTGTTCAAATCCCAGCTTCACCGCTTACAAGCTGTGTGACTTTGGGCAGGTTACTGCACCTCTCTGTGCCTTGCTTTCCTCATTCACAAAATGGGAATGAACATAGTCTGTACCTCAGAGGGTTGCTTTGAGGATTACTGATGTTGTTGGGTGTCTTTGAGTAGGCCTAGAGATCACATGTGACAGAGTAGAACTGTCCCATAGAGTTTTCTTGGCTGTAATCTTTATGGAAGCAGATAGATCACCAGGTCTTTCTCCTGTGGAGCCACTGGGTAGATTCAAACTGCCACTCTTTTGGTTAGCAGCCAAGCGCTTAACTGTTGCTCCACTAGGGCTTCTTTGAGGATTAAACGAGTTCAAATACAGTCAGCACTTAAAACAGGATCTTTCAAAGAGTAACTACTAAGTAGTCATGTTAGTTATTTATTGATGTGTAACAAATTACCTCAAAACTTAGTGTCTTAAAACAGTAAACGTTTATTATCTCTTAGTTTCTGTGGATCAGGAATGTGGGAGTGGTTTAGCTGAGTGATTCTGGCTTAGGGTCTCTCATGAAGTTGTAGTCAAGCTATCAGATGGAGCCGTAGACATCTGAAAGCTTAACTAGGCCTGAAAACTCACTCACATGGCTGTTGGTTGGAGGCTTCAGTTCCTCACCACATGAACCTCTTTATACTGCTGCTTGAGCAGCCTTACAACATGGCAGCTGATTCCCTCAGAGCAAGTAATCCAAGAGATAGCAATGTCTTTTTTGTATTTTTTTATTGTTGTTGAAAGTATACACAGCAAAACATACACCAGTTTGACAATTTCTACATGTACAGTTCAGTGATATTGATTACATTCTTCAAGTTGTACAATCACACTCACCCTCCTTTTCTGAGTTGTTCCTGCATTAACATAAACTTACTGCCACCTAAGCTTCCTATCTAATCTTTTGACTTACTGTTGTCAGTTTGATCCCATATAGATAGTTGTCAAAAGAGCACAATACTCAAGGCAGACATTCTTTACCAGTGAAGCTAAATTGTTGTTTGGTTTTAAGAAGACTTAAGGGGATATTTTTTGTTTAAGTTTTAAGGATTTTCTCAGAGCAATAGTTTCAGAGATTCATCCAATCTTCATGGATCCAGGAAGTCTAGAGTCCATGAAAATTTGAAATTCTGTTCTGCATTTTCCCCCTTTTTGATCAGAATTCTTCTATAGCCTCTTTGACCAAAACGTTCAGTAATGGTAGTTGGGCACCATCCAGTTCTTCTGGTCTCATGGTGAAAGAGGCAGTTGTTCATGAAATCAATTAGCCACACAGATAGCAATGTCTTTTATGACCTGGCCTCAGAAGTCACAATCTGCCATTTCTGCCATAGTCTATTGTTTTTGCAGGTCGGATCTATTTGATGTAGAGGGGATTACATGGAGCATGAATACCAGGAGGCAAGTCACTAGGAGCTTCTCTTGGAAGCTTGGCTATATAGTAATGTTTGTTAAATATGTAAAAATGCCTCCTAAGCTGGCTTCCTGAGTTCCAAAGCTGAGCGTCTAATCTGATCCATCAATATCCACCTGAGCAGCGGGCTCATTACATTGCCAACGGAGCTCAGTCAGCCCCTTTGCCCCCTGACTCCCCGTCTAGTGACTGTCCTGACCTCCCTGAGTTATCGAGGCCCAAGGCCCGGGCTCACCAGCTCCTTCCTCCTGGCTCAAAATCAGACTTCTGATCCTCTCCTGCTTCCTCTTGAATCTCCAGCTCATTTCTACTTCTCTGTTCTCAAGACCTCCACCCTATTCCAGGCAGAGATTCAAAAATATATTTTGTAATCTTTTTACTTTTCTGTATGATCCACTACGCATATATTTAGTATATAGATATGTTGTTAGCGGCTGTCAAGTCGGCACTTGACTTATGGTGACCCCGTGTGTGACAGAACTGCTCCATAGAGTTTTCTTGGCTGTAATCTTTACAGAAGCAGATCATCAGGCCTTTTCTTCCGCGGAGCCTCTGGGCAGGTTCGAACTGCCAACCTTTAGGTTAACATCTGATCTGAAACCACTTGTACCACCTGCTTCTTCAAAAATATATTTCATATTGTCCCTCCCCTGCTCACAACCTTCCTTCCCATGGCTCCCCAGTACCCGCCTGGGAAAAACCAGACACCTCAGTGTGGTGTTCGAGGTCCGGACTCACCAATCTCCTATGTCCCAATCCCAAATTCAGCCACTGTGCTTGACAGATTGTGCCCAAATTCTCCCTGCGTCCCCCCCACAAGCCCCTGCCTGAGGTGTCTTCTCTACCCAGAATGTCCTTCCCTCTCATCACACAAGGGCCTCGTCGCCATGGCCACCATTCTGGTCTCCTGGACGGCCCCCTCTCCAGCTTAGAGGCCCAGGAAAGCAAGAGAGAGGTCAAGGGGGTATTCTGCTGAAGATCAATGAACATGAACTTCCAGGAAGTGAGGAGGGGTCCGGAGTGGGGAGGGAAGGGAGGGCTGGGAAGGGCAGAGGGAGGGGAGCGGACAGGGTCTCTGACCTCTGACCCACTCCCCCAGAATGTAACCCTGGCCTTGGCTGTATTCACCATCCTGGCCTCCATTTACTTCTTCAACAAGGTGAGTGGGGAGGGGGTGGAGGTGGAGGAGTGGGGCCTGGACCTCTGTCTCTCTGGTCCCCACTACATTGTCTCAGTCTCTCTCTTTCCCATGTCTCTGTGTATTTCTGTCTCTGTCTCTCTTCCTCTCTCAGGCTCAGCAGTGAGAAGACCACAGGACCCCCCATTCGTGTCTGTGGCCCAGACCATGACTCTGGCCTCTGAGGACAAATAAATGTGACTGAATCAGCACATCCCACTCCACCCACTGCCAGCCTGGACCCCTGCATCTGAGGGAGGAGGGGGCTGGGGCCTGGACCTCTGGGTCTGAGGGAGGAGGGGCTGGGGGCCTGGACTCCTGGGTCTGAGGGAGGAGGAGGTTGGGGCCTGGACTTCTGAGACTGAGGGAGGAGGAGGTTGGGGCCTGGACTTCTGAGACTGAGGGAGGAGGGGCCCGGGGGCCTGGACCCCTAGGTCTGAGGGAGGAAAGCCTGAGGAAAAGGGGCTGGGGGCCCAGACTCCTGGGGCTGGGGGAGGAGGGGACAGATCTCTGCACTCCTTGGTCTGGGGGAGGAGGGGGCTGGGGACTTGGACTCCTGGGTCTGAGTCTGGAGGCCCAGGTATCTGAGCTGGGTTTAGAAGAATGAGTAGGAGTCTTTTAGGTACATCAGAGAGAGGAAAGAGCATTCTAGACAGAAGTAACTTTGGGTGCAAGGACCCAGATGAGAAAGAGCAGGGCAGATTCCCCAGCTGGCACTAGTACAGATTGCAGTGTGTGTCAGACTTGTTACTTCTCTCTGAGCCCTGATTTTCTTTTTGGTCGGACAAAGGTGAGACTCTTTGTCCAATGGGCCCTGGAGGACCACAGCCAAGACTGCCTGAGATCAAAGACATGAATGACCTTTTAAGCTGCAAAAGGTCCTGTACTTATCTTCATCATCATTATCATATTGTTTCAACATATCTTCCTCTTTGCTCTTCTTAGCCAACTTCTCCTCAGCCTTCAACACCCACTGCCAATGCCCCTTCCTAGAGAAGTGTCCAGACCTCTGGATGGGCAGTCTGTTAGCTCCTCACTGCTTACAGGCCCCTCCCTACCCCCTGCCTCCATCTCCAGCAGGTGTGAATGCCCTAGAAGACACTCCAGCCTTTGGTTGAACTTCCCCCACCTTCTCATTTGGTGCCACGAAGCAATGTCATTTAAAGTCAAGATCTGAAAAGACCATATGTTCCAGGGTTTGTGGGAAAGGCAGGGCTTATGCCAGTTGTTCCAGCATAATTGTTAAGAGCGGCCCCTTTAATTCTCAAAAGCGTCTTGATTTGGAGGAGAAAGTATACTTATAGGAGGCCTTGGAGTTCCTGGGTGGTGCTAATGGTTAAAGCACTTGGCTGCTAACCAAAAGATTGGAGGTTCAAGTCCACCCAGAGGTGCCTTGGAAGAATGTCCTGGCAGTCTACTTCTGAAAAATCAGCCATTGAAAACCCTATGGAGCAAAGTTCTCTTCTGACTCACGTGGGGTCACGGTGAGTCAGAGTCGACTCCATAGCAACTTCTGTTTTAAATCGGAGGCCTTGCTTGCAAAACTCAGAATTACCACACGGGGGTGGTGTTGGACTATTTTCTGAGGAAAAGTCGGTGGTCTGGAAGAGAACGTTGATTCCAGCCAGACCAAAATTCTGAAACGTTGCTGGGTGGGGGAGGGTGGGTCCATACTGCTAGCACCCTCCTCCCTGCCTGGGGCTTCCTCTCCTGGACCTTCGCCCCAGCCTCCTGTCTCTCCCCACCAGTCCTCAGCAGGATCTTTGTTCACCCAGAGCTAAGCCTGTCCCCTCCCTGCTCAACGCCCTCGCCCTTCCGGGGGCTCCCCTGAGAAGAGGCCCAGCCCCTCAGCCGGCTGTTGGAGACTCTGTGTGGCCTGACTCCTTCCAGTCTTTTTTCTCCCCACCACCTCACATGTCTCCATCTGTGCTATATCCTTAGCCACAAATAACTCAGAAAAACCGGTTGTCCTCTAGTCAGTTGAGTAGAACTGTGCTCCACAGAGTTTTCAATGGCTGTTTTTCAGAAGCAGATCACCAGGCCTTTCTTCCTAGGCACCTCTGGGTGGACTGAACCTTCAATCTTTCAGTGAGCAGCCAAGTGCGTTTACCGTTACAACCAAGTGTAGCTCAGAGATGGTAAAAAATGCCACACTTTTGTACAGGCTATGACCCCTTCCCGGCATGCTGTTTCCCAACTCTATTTTATGTCACCCCCAGGAAGGCTTCCTCAAACCCCCTCCAATACAATGAGTCTCCTACCTGAGCCCTCCACCCTCTCACAACTGCCCCTCCCCTGGCCTTCATGGCTGGGGGTGGGGTGAGGGCGTGCAGGACAGGGTCTGACTCCTGCTGAGCCTCCAGAAATAAACACTGAAAGAAAGATTTCAAAATAATTCATAAATAAATATTAATATTTAGTATTTTGTGATATTTAGTATACCAGTGCCGAGGTTCCTGGGTGGCACAAATGGTTTGCACTTGACTACCAACCAAAAAGCTGGTAATTGGAAACCAACCAAGGGGCGCCGCAGAAGAAAGGCCTGGCAATCTTCCATAATGAGTATAGCCAAGAAAACCTTATGGAGTTCAGTTCTATGCTGTAACACATGGGGTTCCTGTAAGTCAGGGGCAGGCTCGGCAGCAGCTAACAACGTACCAGTATCAGTTGCCGTTGAGTCAGTTCTGACTCATTGCAACCCGATGTGTGTCGGAGTAGAGCTGTGCTCCACAGGGTTTTCAGTGGCTGGATTTTATGAAGTAGATTGCCAGGACTTCCTCCAAGATGCCTCTGTGTGAATTCCAACTGCCAACCTTTTGTTGAACAGCTGAGCACATTAACTGCCCGCACCAGATACTTCAAAAAGAAGAAATACTGACAAAGCAGTCCCTACTTGCCTTTTCTCCAGCCCCAGCTCTGGGTTTCTCAGTCCGCTGGGAGCCATCAGGGTTGCATTTCCACAACCACAGGCACATGGATATGGATGGAGCTCAGCCAGCAGTGCCTGGGAATCCCTGGGGAGCTTTTAAAATGCCCAAAGCCAGGCCTCACCCTGGACCACTGAAAACACAGCGTCTGGGGATGGGACCTGGGCATCAATTTCATTTTAAAAGCTCCCCCAGGATATTTGAAAGTACAGCCAGGGTCAGGAGGGGTCCCGCTAATGCGTCCTCAGGAGACTGAAGAGAGAGATTTCCCCCTCAGGGGGCACGTTTCAGAGGCCAGCGTTGGTAGCTGCATGGATAACATCAGAGACTCAGAAAGAACATTAACCTTTACATTTGGGAACATTTTTGGGGTGTAGAAAACTAAAAAAGGCAAATAAGATGGTTTCCAAGGTAGGGGGCGCTGGAGGGATGGTTAGGAGGCGGTATTTCAAACATCAGCAAGAGGAGATGAGGGTAATTGGGCACTAATACCCTGGGGAGCCACTGGGTGGGCCTGGGACCCTCTCCAGAACATTCAGTGGCCTTCTCTCTTGGCCTAGCTCTGGCCTGTATTATTGTGTGTCTTCTGGGGAGCCTGAGACTTTCCTGGTTTTGGCACCAAAAGTGCTGTATCTTGGGAATTCCCAGCCATGGGAGAATCGAGACATTTGGTCACCCTAGTCCCACCTGTCCAAATTCTTACCCCCGTCCATGTACCTGTCTTCATACAGGCCCATCTCTCTTGCTCTCTTTCTGTCTCTGTGTCTCTGTCCCAATCTCTGTATCTGTCTTTCTTTAGATCTCTGTTTCGGTCTCTGTATCTCTCTGTCACTCTCCCCACTCTTCATTCTCCCCTCCTTCAGCCCCTTGTCCTTTTTATTTCTTTCACTGGCGTGTTCCGCGTTTCTGTCTCTCGCTGGGTCTTTGTCTCCATTTCTTTTTCTGTCCCGTCTCCCACTGGGTCCCTCCCCGCAGCCGGCCATCTCTCACCTTGGCTTCATCTGCCGCCTTCAATTCCATCGCGTCTGCATCAATGCCTGTTTGCCTCTCTGCGCGTGTCTTCTTCCGCCTTTTGTGCTTTCTCTCTGGCTCTCTGTCCCCCTCCCTCTCTAGGTCTCTGTCCCTGCCTCTCTCTGGGTCTCTGTCCCCCTCCCTCTCTAGGTCTCTGTCTCCCCCCTCTCTGGATCTCTGTCCCCTCTCTCTGGCTCTCTGTCCCCCTCTCTCTCCAGGTCCCTGCCCCCCTCTCTCTGGCTCTCTGTTCATCTCCCTCTCTGGGTCTCTGTCCCCCTCTCTCTGGCTCTCTGTTCTGTCCCTCTCTGGGACTCTGTCCCCCCCCCTGGGTCCTCTGTCCCCCTCTCTCTGGGTCTCTGTCCCCCTCTCTCTGGCTGTCCTGTCCCTCTCTGGCTCTCTGTCCCCCTCTCTCCAGGTCTCTGTCCCCCTCTCTCCAGGTCTCTGTCCCCCTCTCTCTCTGGGTCTCTGTCCCCCTCTCTCTCCGGGTCTCTGTCCCC